ATTGGAATGAAAACTGACCTTTTCCAGTCCTGTGGCCACTGCTGAGTTTTCCAAATTTGCTGACATATTGAGTGCAGCACTTTCACAGCATCATCTTTCAGGATTTGAAATAGCTCAACTGGAATTCCATCACCTCCACTAGCTTTGTTTGTAGTGATGCTTTCTAAGGCCCACCTGACTTCACATTCCAGGATGTCTGGCTCTAGGTGAATGATCACACCATAATGATTGTCTGGGTCATGAAGATCTTTTCTGTACAGTTTTTCCATGTATTCTTGCCACTTCTTCTTAACATCTTCTGCTTCTGTCAGATCCATACCATTTCTGTCCTTTATTGAGCCTGTCTTTGCATGAAATGTTCCCTTGGTATCTCTAATTTTCTTGAAGAGCTCTCTAGTCTTTTCCATTCTATTGTTTTCCTCTCTTTCTTTGCACTGATTACTGAGGAAGGCTTTCTTATGTCTCTTTGCTATTCTTTGGAACTCTGCATTCAAATGGGTATATCTTTCCTTTTCTCCTTTGCTTTTTGCTTCTCTTCTTTTCACAGCTCTTTGTAAGGCTTCCTCAGGGAGCCATTTTGCTTTTTTGCATTTCTTTTTCTTGGGGGATGGTCTTGATCCTTGTCTGCTGTATAATGTCATGAACCTCCATCCATTCCATAAGCATTTTCTCAGCAAGTTACCTTTTAAGACTAAGCTGCAATTTGAAAGACATTTTTTATCCATTTATATTTTGAGCTCCTAGGCTCCTCATAGTTTTGAGCGCAGTCAACTAGGTATTGCACAAATTCTTCAGGCAAATACAAAACAGTATAAAATAATGTTTTTACCTTCAAGCACAGGGAATAATTCTAGCCTAAAGGAGCATTGTGGTTTCAAATTTAAAAAAAAATAAATAAAAACTAACCCTAAGGAATAAGATTAGGAATATTGCCTGGACAACATTAATGATCTCTTCTGCATGCTAAGTCGCTTCAGTCATGTCCAACTCTTTGTGACCCTATGGACTGTAGCCTGCCAAGCTCCTTTGTCCATGGGGATTCTCCAGGCAAGAATACTGAGGTTGGTTACCGTGCCCTCCTCCAGCAGGATCTTCCTGACCCAGGGATCGAACCCTTGCCTTTTATGTCTCCTACATTGGCAGGTGAGGTTTTTTTACCGCTAGTGCCACCTGGTCCCTTACTTAATCACATTTGAGAAACAACTAATCAAACACTACATCACTTTGCTTGAATGGATTTAGTTTGTACAGACAATTACCATGACCTTCCAAATTATAACTAAAGTGATTTGATATCTAGATAGCAGTTCACATGTCTTCTGTCCTTTCTAAATCCTGGAATCTTCACTTATGCAGTATGTATTCCAGACATTCTGAAAGCTATCACCATACAAAAATAATGCTTAACTCTTCTCTTTGTCTCTGAATGAGGAGCAGAAAAATCAAGATTCTGTCTAAGTCTGCTGCTTGTTGCCTGGATGAACTTAGTTATCAAATCTCTACAAGCAAGTCTGTTCTCATCTTCTCAATGGGGATAATTTTGCACAGAACTCAGAGCTCTGATGAGTATGCTGCTGCCGCTGCTAAGTCACTTCCGTCGTGTCCGACTCTGTGTGACCCCATAAACGGCAGCCCACCAGGCTCCGCCGTCCCTGGGATTCT